CTCCGCTTTGCTGTGTCTGTGCTTCAGATCCCTGTGCCCCATCCCCTGCCCTGAGTTTGGTGCCCTCCAAGAGGCTTCACGTGACCCTGTAAAACTCTCACCTGCCTGCATCTGCTTGCTGTCCCTCTCCTTCCTGGCTCAGTCCCTTGGCTTGCTACCAGCTCACTGCACTGACCCCTTGGGACAGCCTCAGGGCTGTTTTGGATACCTCTGCCTCCTGATCTGCTGTCAGCTGGACTTTCCTCAGGGCATCAGCTGCTGACGCAGCAGAGGAGCAAGCGCGGGGACGTGGCAGGGTGCTGGGCCTCTGGGATGCTGCGCTGTGCCGTTGTGAGTGCAGTGGGAGCTGTGGTGGGAGCAGGGGAGACGAAGGTTTGCTGCAGCCTGGGATCCTCCTGCAAACATCAGGTGCTGGGGCAATCGCTGTTGCGACAGGGCAGCTATTGCTGGGCCTGTTGTCACGTGCCGCCTCTAACCAAACGCGGCTCCTGCGAGGCCTTGGCTGCAGTCAGGGTCAGATACGGTGGATCTGGGCAGAGGTGCCAACAGCCTGCTTAGATTAGGGTTTCGGCTCTTTGGACTACACGGAGCTCAGGAGCCTCTCCTAGCATGGGGTAGGTCTTTCCTGCCCCTGTGGATTGTCATCTGGCAAGCCGTCTTCATCCCTCAAGCCTTGTTGGACCATGCAGATATTAACACACTCTCCTGAGCTGGAGCATATTAGCCCCAGTTCACCCAGGGAAGAGTGTGCTGTTGGGTCTCCTTGGTTTACACCCACGGCTCATAGCTCCAGAGTGAGTGTTACAAAGGTAGGAGCAGAAATGGATGCAACTTCCCCGGGCCACAAGCAGCATCAGGAGTTGAAACCGAGTCCCAGCACAGCGCCCCGTCCTCTAGATTCTGCCTCGCGAACGCCCAGGGGTGCACATCTCTGAGATGCAAGTGGTATCCCTGACAATGAACTGGGGTTTGCAAACCAGCCTGGTGCTGCACAGGTCCCATCACTAGAGGCATGCTGTGCTGAGCCGTGGTGGGGTAGGAGGTGAGGTTTGAAGGACCAGGGGGAAGGGGCAGGGCCGGGCGGGAGCTCTGGGACTCGTGTTGCTCTGTTCCAAGTGCGGTGCCATTGTGCTTAGTCACAGTCATAGAAACAATTAAGCTGGTTCCTCTGCACCTGTATTTATTGCTGGTTTTGTTCCAAATAAAGCTGGTTTTGTGAGTACAACCTGCAGCTGGTCTGGTTCTGGGTGGGGATGTGTCCAGTGTGGAGCAGCATGATGGGGAGCGGGAAGACACCCTACTCTCTCCGCCAAGCAGCCTCCATGGGCTGCATGGTCTTAGAGCAGGATGTGGCCAATTTGCTCCCCCAGGTTCTCAGTCCTTGGCCCCTAGATGGCTTCAGAGAGCGGCTGCAAGGGGCGTCTCTGTCCCAGTGCGGGACCCCGTGTCGGTTTGGGAGCTGCTGCACTCCCCCCAGCAGTGTGTGAAGGCTCGGTACCCAGGCAAGGGACCAGGGCCCTGCCAGGCTACAGGGCTCACGCAGGTCTCTGAGGGAGGGAGAAGACTGGGAAGGTGTTTCTCCTTCCCTGCTTGTCTATGGCTGCTGGGGCAGGGGCTGAGGGAGCTCCTGGCAGTGTATGAGGTGCCCCCCTTGGTTGATGCAAAGTGGATAGAGAGGGACCAGAGCAGAGGGGGTTGGGCTGCAAGGCTGAGCGAGGTCCTCTGAACCGCAAAGCAATGGAGAAGAAGCAGCTGGGTTGTGCAGTGGTGCCAATGCCAGCAGCCCTCCACCACGCAGGCAGCTCCTGCCCCTGGGGGACGGGCAGCTTGAGCTGATGTAGCTGCAACTCAGTGGAGCTCTTGTCCCCCAGCGTGGGGCCCTGACCTTTGCAACCTGGGACCCTGGCTTACCTCCGTGCCCAGGGCCCAGCTCTGCAGGGTGGGTGAGATTTGCTCTTTGTGGTCAAACACCCTGGTCAGGAGGGAGAAGGGGACATGATGTGGCCCTGGCCCTAGCCAGGGGTCTGTCCTGCTGGGGCTTTGCAAAGTGCAGGATTGATCTTGCTCTATCTGGACCCATGGGAGTGAATGACTGCAGCTGCCGATGCCTCCTTTATTCCCAGCGGCTGGATCCATCTATCCACAAGCAGACCGCCCAGCTGAAACCCCTGGGGTGTGAATTGGGTTGCAAGTCTTGCGCAGCCAGACGGCTTTGGGGAAGCAGGGTCAGGATGAACCATCATCCCCATCATTTTTAGCACAGGGTCTTTCTCTCATTCATTGCTCTGCCCCCTGTGGCTAGTTGGCCGAGTGCTGCTGGCTTGAGAGAGCTGCCATGTTTCACCCTGGAGGTGGCTGTATTTAAGGTGTGGGTGAAGGCAACCTGTGGTTTGCAATGTGCCAGGGACCTCAGTGACACATCTAACTTTTCCTACAACAGAATGGGTTGTGTGCCATCCCTCAGCTACAGATGGATGGCACACACCGCTCCTAGCTTTTATTGCACCACACTGGGCTAAGAGGGTTGAGTAAATGGATCACAAGGACATTCCTAACACAGTTTGGAGGCTAAATATTTAACTGGGGATTTCCTGCTTTATTTACACAGAAGAGGTCTTGTTTCCTAATGTCTCCAATGTCTCGGATCATGGGGAAGTGGGAAACACAGGAGCTTGGGAAGTGAATCCAGCCTGAAGAGTCCGTCTCCCTGGACGCTCGCGGTTGCATTAGCTTGTGCAGCCCTGGGGATCGGCGCCACTGCCCACCCGCCACCCAGACTGTGTGGACAATGGCACTGCCACAGCCAGTTGCCATGCTGGGTCTGATGTGGCCTGGAAGCCCCCACCAAGCCTCCGTGTTGTGCTCAGAGCCAGCCTGTGTCACAGGGCTGCTGCCCCCACAACTGTTCCCGCAAGGCGGGGGACGCAGCTCCCTCGAGGAGACCTGGCAGAAGGCTTTTCCTGCCAGCTTCACCCCACTATTTCCCCTAACAGCAAACCCTGCCAGCAGCAGTTGTCATCCCCCAGCACAGCTGCACCCAGAAAGTCTTGTGCTGGGATTGCTGTATGAGCCAGAGGGTGTGATCTTGCCACACCGCTGACCGGCATGGCTGTGGCATTAGACTAAGCCTCAGTATTTTGGTCCCTCCACTCACATTGTGGCAAAGTAATGGGCACACACCGCTGTGCTGTGTTGGCACAGTGTTACCCTGGCACTGTGATAGCCCATTCTTCAGCTCGTTAGGATGGAGCCCGTGCAGCGATCCTGGACTTTGTGGGCAGCGCTGCTTGAAAGCGTCGGCTTAGCTGCACCCTTGCCCACCCCTGTGTGCAGAGAAGAGCCGAGAAGGGTTGTGTGTGGTTTGGGCTGATCAGGGTTTGCCCCCTCTTCAAGGCAGTTGCTGGTGTCCTTAGCAATGGCTTTTCAGCTTTGACCGGTGCTGCTGTCTGCTCCGGGAGGTAAGCCCCTCGACGCCAAGTCCCCAGAGGACAGCACACTTCCTCGCCCAGCGGGACCGTTCAAGAGCCGGAAGGCAACTGCCAGTCTCCAAAGGTAGGTGCAGTTCACTGGGGTCTGTGAACCGGGAGTGGGCCCAGGGCTGGCAAGCCCCTTCTGGAGGTAGCACACAGGCTTATGTTGCCTTGCATGTCTATGAAGACATTGGCGGGGTCTCATGAAGGCCAGCTGCCAAAATGCTCCAGAGAGCAAGAAACTTATGAATTTCAGCCACCTGCTCACTTCGAGAAAGGAGCTTGCCGGAAGTGCTGCAGGCACGGGGATGTGTCCAGTCTGCAACCCTCCGCAGACCTGCATGCTCTGCAGCTCAGCATGGGTGTGAGCGGAGCCTGAGTTATGTATGGGAGGAGGCCGGGCCAAGGGTGTCATCCTTTTTTCCTCTAGAAGAATACCCTTTGTCTACCTCTGCCATGGGTGTTGGGGGTGGGTTGTTGAGCATCTCTGGCAATTACTCCTGCAAGCGTCTTATATTTGGGGTCCCCCCAATGTGAAGGGACATTCAAAAATTGAGACTTCAAATGCCACGGGGATGAGAATACCAGTCCCTTTGGAAAGGCGTGGTAAGGCCCCAGTGGTTCTCAACCGCATTGGACTTGACGCGCCCCTCAGAGCATGCCAGCGATGCCTTTTCTGTCGTTTTTTGGCTACAAACAATAGAGCTTTTTTATCTGTTGCAGAGAACTCGGAAGGACCGCAGCGGGTCAGGGTGGGTTTTTTTTTTGACATGATGAATTTCTGCATGAAACCTCGGGGGTTGTCTTGTGAATTATACTTGCTCGCCGAACAGTGCTACCACTGCATGACTCCCCTCGATAGGATCTCAAGGCACCCCTGGGTGCCATGGCCACCTGGTTGAGAGTCACTGTGTGCTGGAAGCTTGCGATATGAGCACGGAAGGATGCTGGCATTTTCCCTGCCAAGTAGCAATGCATTCAGGTTAGAAAAGACTGTGCCAGCCTCTGGGGAGCAGCGACAGGTTCGCATGTACACAGATGCGTTGGATTCTGCTTGCCAGCACTTCCCGGGAAGAGCAAGAAACTACCCCCTTCTCCCCCCGCCCCAGGTGGGTGCTCTGTAGTGCTTGCCTGGTACATGGTGCATCCCACGGCTGGGCAGTGCCCGCAGCCGGGTTGCTATCGGGACTCTGCTGTGCAAGGCGGTGCGTGCAGGCAGGTGGCAAGTGTGTGCAGCTCCAGGCAACAGGCTGAGACGAGGCTCCTGGCCGCTGGTGTGAGCTGATTTTCATAGCCTGCCTCTGGCTGCTGGGCTGTGCCAGGCTTGGGCTTCGCCTTGCATGGGTGGGAGCCCTGCCCGGTGTTTCTCTGCCCTGCAGTGCAGGGGACGGCCTGCGTGTGGCAGGGGAAGCAGAGGCTCCTTGTTGCAGGGCTGGCAGAGGGCAGTCCCTGCACGGTGGGGCCAGCCCACAGGGCAGCTCCAGCCCGGCCCCGCCTCCACCTCCGCCTCTGCTTATAGCCAGGGGTGCTGATGCCAGCAGAGAGGAGGTGGCAGAGCTGCAGCTGGAGACATCGCCCTGCCTGGGTGAGTGCGGCTGGGAGCGAAGGAGAGAGCTCCCCCCGGCCTCGTGCAGGGGCAGTGGGGCCCCAGCTTGCCTGGGACCTCAGGGTAAATTCATGGAGGGGAGGGTGCAGCAGGGTGTGTGGGGGGGTCTCTGCTCTGCAATAATCTGTGCCCAGCCCCAGAGACTTATGCTGCTCTGCCTGGGGCTGCATCCCTGCGCCCTGGTGGATCCGAGCCCCAGGGAAACCCATGGGGGGGTTTTGTCGTGGGCTGGGTTGGATGGGAGGCTTCCCCCCCAGTGCAGACAGGTCTACGTCAGTGTAATCAGGTCGGAGTAAACCCGTGCGCGTCCTGATGTGGCAGCAAACCCCACTTCTGCATGGACCGTGAGCCCCTCGGGGCAGGGCTCCTTGGGTTCGCGTAGTGCCTGGTCCAGTGGGGACGTGGGTTCGTGGCTGAGCCCGCAGTGCTACACCAACAGCAGGCTGCTCTTGCCCCTAGCCCTGTTCCCCCAGCACCCCCTTCCCTCCCTCCCCGGTGCCATTTCCCATTGCCCTGTTCCCCCAGCACCCCGGTGCCACTGCATGCCAAGCGCCCGTCTGCCATCGCACCCAGCCTCTGTGCGCTCTGCAGGCAGCTGTGTGCGGAGGGGGGCTTGAGTCCGGGGGTTGGTATTACAACCGACGGTGCCGCTTGCCCTAGCCTGTGCCCTTTGCTGACTGGCTCCAGGGCAGGACTTCCTCTTGCGCGCCGAGTTGCAAGTCTTTTCATGCTGATTGTTTTTTCAGCTCTGGCATTTCCCTGAAGGCAAAAAAAAAAAGAAAAGAAAAGCTATAAGAACTGGCAGTTCCTGCAGAAGGGATGGCGGCAATCACAGGGAAGTTACCACACCGTAATCAGCCGCGCTGAGAAAGCCCCGAGCCCTGCCCTTCAGCCGCGGCGTGTTTGCTCTGATTTCATGTCCCAGAACTTCAGCTCCAGGCAAATTAGGAAACACCCTCTCCCTTCCTGGAGAGCTGCGGCCTCTTTGGCACGGCCCCCGGGGTAAAGTGCTGGGGATCGCTGCCTGGCAGAGGGCTTTGGCAGCCAGCCCCGGGAAGACAATCCTGTAGCTCTCTCGGTGTCTCCCTTCCCCTCCGTTAGCGAGGACAGTTCATGGGAACCATCCTCCTGTCCCTCACCGACCACGCAGGCTAGGGGAAGAAACACAGTGTCAGACCGCCGGCTTTCCAGTTCCACCTCTCCCCGCCGTGCCTGAGCAGGGGAGCAATTATTTTGGGCAGAGGGCCGCTTACTGAGTTTTGGCAAGCCATCGAGGGCCGCATGACGGGCAGCCCGGGCACATAAACATTAATGTTCTAAATTTTGTAGGGGCCCCGCGGGCCGAATTGAATGGCCTGGCGGGCCACATCTGCCCGTGGGCTGCATTTTGCCCACCCTTGGCTTAGAGAGAAGCATCTAACTCTCCCGGTGTGCCCTTCGTGCCCTCTGACAGCTCTTTTCTCCGCAGGGGGCAAGGGCAAAATTCACAAGTTCCTTGCTCTCCGTAGTGTCTCAAAAGGCATCTTCAGTCCCCCCCCACCCATGTTTCCAGGAAGAGGGCTGGGGCTTACAACATGTCCTGTTCAGCAGCATTTGTCTAGCTGGGATTTTGGGTCTTTGAACCACGGCTGGGACAATTGGCTTCATAGAGCCGTGGATGGCCTGTTAATGGGTCGTGTCCCGTAAAGTTTCCAGCTCAGCCTCCCTCTGCATTCAGCAAAAGCTGTCATCACTCAGCTGGGCCCCTGACTGTGTCAGCTTGGGTTACTAGTGATAATATAGTGAACCAGGCGCTGCTATTTAGTGATCAGAGCTATTATAACATGTTTCCCCCGAGAAATGGCAACGGGGTGGAGCCAGGCTATTAACAATGGCACAGTCATCCACGGTTTCCTATGCAGAACCTGTGCCAGAGATAGCCCCAAATTGGTGTTTGTGTGTTTTAATTAGTGGATCGGTGGCACGTGCGACATAAAATTTGCAAGGTCTCAGTCCAGTTCTGCTTTGGCAGGTTGTCTGCTTCTGGCATGGGGGGAGCTTTGCCTTGAGACGCGCTAAGAAGCAGCCTTATGCGGTTTCCATCTCCTGCAATAACCCCCCTGCAGCCAGCCCTGCCCTAGCTTCACAAGGGGCAAGTCTCTGGCTTTGAGACCCAGGCTATTCTCAGTCCCTGGCTTCCCTGGTGACTCGTAGCACCCCCACCTCCAAGATCTGCTCTTTCTGGTTGGGTTGCAGGAAGGGGTGGGGGGTTGTTTTCTTCTTTAACAAGAAGGGTATCAGAGTGCCAATGGCCCAAAATAGCGTGGCAGACTCTGCTCCAAAAAAAAACATCTTTATCGTGCCACTCCAGTTCCCTCTGGTCTTTCCTTGGACTCTTTTTTTTATTTTTATCCCTCCAGCTCTCAGAGCCTCACTCCTTTCCTTAGGCCTAGCCAGCCACACTTGCAACGACACAGTTGCAAAAACTGTAGTATTCACCTGGAAGAACAGTCCTCCGATAAAATGAGGCATTATGCCACAGGGAACAAATGAGGGAGCAGTCCTTGGGTGCTGGTACCAGCCCCAGATGGCCATGTGCCCCTGGGGTGAAAAGGTATATAGGTGCCCTGTTTGCAGCATGGTGCAGGGCTTAGAGGTCCCGTACACAGCCCGTGCTCATACTGAAATGCTTGACATCAAGTGTCCTCCCCAAGAGCCACAGGCTTGAAACTCAGCCCTCGCAACACTTTTCATCACACAGGTGCTCATCTCCCCAAAACCACTGTGGTTTGTGTTAAGTGGCCCTCTTTGCTGGCCATCCTGGCAGAGAAGCTGAGCCCTGAATGGGGCATGGAGGAAAAATGCCATGGGAAAATCCCACGGTCCCTGCTCCCATGCTGTGGCTGGGGGGATGGCACTGTTCTCCAAAGCACCTCTCTCCCCAGCACTAAATTCACCTAAAGAAAGAGTCAGGGGGATATTTCATGAAGCCAAATACGGGGAGCAGTGAGGGGGTTATTAGCACTGGGCCTTTCCAGAAACAGAAGTCCCAGGGCTCACGAACGCTTAGGCACCCCTGATGCAGTGAGTCTATCTTCCTGTAAATGCCCGGCCTGTGAAGGGGAAGGCGCAACACCCAGCAATCATTATGCAATAAAACAGGTTCCAGGGTATGCCACTCAGCACCTTTGGCTGGGGTTTTCGGAGCCAACAAAGTGGCGAAAGAGCACTAGATCATGCGTTTTGTGCCCCTGGGAGCGTTTCCACCCTAGGCCAGTCAGCCCCCTCCCTTTCAGGCCGAGCTGGGGGATGCTTTGCCTAGCAAAGGTTGGGGCACGGCGAGGCACAGGTTCGGGGAAGCTGACTGATGCCAGACCTCGGCTGCGCTGGTAATCAGATTGTCCAATCTGCCTGTTTCTCATTTGCTAACCGCCAGGCCTGAGTGAAATTGGGAGCGATCGTAAATTGTCCCATTTGCCTGGAAGGGACTGGAGCTCTGCCAACCTGCACCAGCACAGCCCTTGCCCCACGGCTCCAGGGGGAAGTGAAAGCGCCTGCAGTTGTGCCCTCCAGAGCTTCCTCCTTGCCCTGTCCTCTGGGAGGGTTGGTAATTTCCTGCCTAACTGGTGCCTGTGGTCTCCACACCCCACCCCAGGGCTCTGCGTGGGAGCCCGCAGGAGATGCTGGCTCTGGGAAGCTGTCTGTTCATCATGCAGATTCCCTGCCCTGTTCTGTACCCACCTGTTCCTTGCAGCCCACGGGCCGCAGAAATGCATCTAACTGGTGCCAAGGTCAGCGGCCTCAGCATCCGGTCTGATGGAGCGCTGCAGGCTGCGCCGGTCCCTGCTGCACCCCTGGATAACTCGGGGGTGCGACGCTGGTGACACAGACCTGAAGAGACCATTCAGGGAGCAGCTGGGGCCAGTAAGGGACTGATGTGCCAAGAGCCTGAATGCAGTTCAGCGAGCGGCTCTGGCCAGGGTTGCTTCACACACCGGTGCCCTTGGCTCACCTGAGGCTAGGTGAGTCCCAGCAGAACTAGGATTATTTAGTGGCAATCCTGACACGAGCTAGCATGGCAGAGAGAGCCAGTCTCTCCCAGCCCTGTGGCTCTGGGTTCAGATGAGTTCGTCCCCTACTGCTGGGCCTTGCAGGGTTGGGAACTTCCTGCCATGCTAGTGTTGCATACCCAGACCGGCGGGGAGATTCGAACGGGGGGGTTTATTTTAGCCTTGGGG